ACATGTTCATAAGAACGAGCAGAGGGCTCACTGCACATATGTGTTTACATATATATATATATATATACACACACACACATATATATATATATATATTATAGATAGATAGATAGATAGATAGATAGATAAACAAATAGATAGAAAGATAAATGAATGTTAAACATGTGTAACAATAAAAACAAAATATAGAGATAAAAGGGTTTAGGTCTTAAGTTTGCGGCTATATCGGCGTCGGCTTTCAATTTATCAGGGTGTATTTAGGGTTAGATATTAAGTCGTATGGCGTTTAGCTTTAATCTGCGTGCTTGCTCAAAGCCAAGAGCCCGCACGGTTTAGGGTTTCGGCTCTCACACTCGCACGGTTAAGGGTTTTTGGTTTACAGCCCAGAGGAAAAATTCCAGAAACTCATTGGGGGCTTCAGGGTATGACGCCGACATGAGATAGCCTACAAGGTAAAAGCCTTTTTGGGGGCTAAACTCTAGAACCTGTAACCTCCTTGTCCTTGGTGCTACAAGCACTACGGGCCAAACCTCAAAATCCTACGGTCCCTCTTGCCATAAAACCTAAACCTACAGTCCCTCTTGTCTGCCGGGTCATCCGTGTCGTTCAACACCTCTTGCAACTTCACCTGTCCGGCAGCGAGGCACAACCATGAGGGCCCCCTCAGCTTGTTTCATTACGGACTTCACAATCTATGGCATATATAATAGGTATCTGTGTTTTTTCGGTGCCGTTTAATCAATGATTTGTGTTTGTGGATTTTGGCTTTGGGAGTTGAAGATTCCGGGTCGGGTGCATGGATCTAGACGACAATATAGAATATGATATTAGATGCTACACATATATACATACTAAATATATATATATATATATATATACAACATACCAGAAGCTAGGGGTCTGGAGGTGGAAAGGCTTAGTGGTTTGCGACGGGCTTTCTGCGACTTCGCCCAAGAAGCTCCGTAAATCATAACTTCAAGCACTCCCTAGATCCCAAACCCAGCTCTAGACCTTGATCAGTCAGATCCTAAACAGCCCTTTTTGAGCACGGACTCAAGCTGTATGCCGGCCTAAGCTCCCTAAACCCTAAGCCCTCAACTCTAAACCCCTAAACCCTAAGCCCTAAGCCCGAGCCTGAAGCCTTAAAACGGAAGTTCAGTCCCCAGGCTTTTCCCTGAACGGCTCTTGGGTTCTTGGGCGTCGGACCGCTAGAAACCCGAAACCCTTGTTAACCCACTGCACCCGAAACCCTGAACCCCTAAACCCTTGTTTTGAAACCTCCTGAATCCAAAAAACTATAAGCTTTAAACCTCGAGCCCGCCACTCCAGACTGCATTCCCTTAAACCCCAAAACCCTTAAACCCTAAATCCTAAACCCTCAAGCCCTAAACCCAAAGCCCTTAAGCCCTAAACCCTCAAACTCTAAACCCTAAACCCTCAAACTCCAAACCCTAAACCCGTAAACCCTGAAACCCTAAACCCCTAAATCCTGACACCCTAAACCCTTAAACTCTCAAGGTCGCGGCCCCTGCATCTTCTCTTCCGCGGCCTTTCGTTCGTAGTCCACGACCACTGCTCCGGAAGCTCCCGGGATGAGGTCCAAACCTGATTCTGGATAATTCGCGCTTCTATTCTATCGGGTTCCTTCTTAATACTTATGTATATATATGGTATATATATATATATGGTATATATATACATATACAACATACAATGTATATATATATATATGTACTACCAAAACACTGTTCTGAACCTTGAGATGTCCTCCATTCTACTTGAAGTATGATCTAGTACTAGCGTGCCCGGCTCAAACAACAAGTCAAATCATAAAAGATTTTCGAAAGAGGAGATGCGAGTCATGATGGTGGTGGTAGTAGTAGTAGTAGTAGCAGTAGTAGTAGTAGTAGCAGCAGTAGTAGTAGTAGTGGTAGTAGTAGTAGTAGTAGTAGCAGTAGCAGAAGTAGTTAGTTGTTGTAATTGTAGCAAGAGTAGTCGTCGTCGTAGCTGTAGTCGTAGCACTAGTAGCAGTACTGATACATGCAGCACGAGCACTGTTGGCGGATTGAGGCCCCATGTTTGTGTGTGTATATATAGATATATAGTATATATATATATATATATATATATATGTGAGTGTATATATGTATGTATATGTCTGTACATATTCTGCATGCGTTCATGTTGTACTATCGTTATGTAGGGACGGTAAGAAAACACCACTAATACTTATTCAGGCCCTACATTACACATTTCTCAACCCCCATGAGGAGCCGACGAAGTCGAACGAATTCACCACCGAGGATGAAGTCGAACCTGTAGCATCCAGGGATCAACTGCAAGCACAACATAAGGGCCCTTGGGGCGGTTGTTGTTGTTGTTGTTGTTGATGCATAACAGGTATCACAAGGACCCTAAGGAATAATGTCGGTAATGATTCATCCACCCCTCTGTACCATACTGATGCGACGACCATGTAGGACATGTGCTGTCGCAACTATTCAGGCTGCTTTGTTGACTTCCGGTGTCCGACTGGCATATGTCGGACATGTACAAGGCCTGGGGTGGAGCTTTAGGATTTTTCGGCGCTTGCCGCGGTACTGGTGTACATGGTTCAGATTCAAGAGTGGAGCGTCTCCTTGGTTCGAGGAGTTGGGGCGCCGTCTTTCTGGCAGTTGCAGCCAAAGCGGAAGCAACAATAACAATAGCGAGAACCAGGATACAAGTGCTGATTTGGAGCACTGCAACGAGAAAAAGAAACCAACAACAGGCCAACCTGTCCTCCTGCAAGCCCACCCAGCCACCTGCCCACCCCAACCAGCCAGCCGGCCAACCAACCTACCTACCTACCTACCTGGCTGCCTGCCTACCTACCTACCTACCTACCTACCTACCTACCTACCTACCTACCAATCTACCAACCTATCTCCAACACCGTCGCCGTCAGTGGAATCCCGACCACAACCAGCACAACCACAAACACCACCGCCGCCACACACCACCACCAGCAACAGCAACAACTGCAGCAGCAACAGCAACAGTAACGACCCGTGGAAGAACTGAGGATCGTGCACAGCTCTCTCTCTCTCTCTCTCTCTCTCCTTCTCTCTCTGTATATATATATATATGCATGTGTGTATGGGTATATATATATATATATATACATTTATTTATTTATATTTACACGTATTCGCACACATAGGTATGCACAATATATATGTATACATAAGTAACTAACATACCTAAGAGTACCCCGGCTGGATCTGCAACAGGTACCGAACACTAAACCTGGCACCGAGTGCCCAAGCTGATTAACTCCAACCTTCATGTGCGCAACCTCTTGATGAAGCCTACATGGCATATGTTCCGGCTTTAGTAACTTTTGTAGGAATCCCTGCCCGCCGCCTGCGCTCTGCAGCGAAGTTGTTGCCGTCCCAGCGTTCGACAGTAATCTGGGCTCACGGTTCACTTGAAAGACCAAGGACATCTTAGAACCCTGGTGACTAGCGTACTCACCTTTTACAAGGCTCAATGTTCGGATCCTAATCACTATCATCCTCATTGAGGGAAGGGGGTCCATGAATCATCGCATCTGGTGCAAGAAAACCCAGGACATTTCACACGTCCTCTCCACAAACTGGACAGCCCATGCAAAGACAATTGAAAGGATCTCGAAACAACAACTATTGCAAACGGTCCCATACTGCTACTACCGCTACCACTACCACTACCACTACTACTACTACTACTACTACTGCTACTACTGCTGCTGATAGAACTACTACTACTACTACTACTACTACTACTACTACTACTAATGCTGCTACTACTACTACTACTACTACTACTACTGCTACTACTGATGCTGCTGATGGTGGCTAATCCGTACAGTTGTGGACCTGACACCAGGAGCCTCAAGAAGAAGCTCTCCACTGATGGCGA